TTTCTGCAGACGTGTGAAAATGTTCAAGGACGAGGTGTGATGCTCACATAACAGCCATGTCGTGGCTTGCACATATCTCAGACTGTGTAATGTATCTTCCCTGATTTGTACTCGTCGATCGACAGTCCAGCTTATATGACATTTGAGTACAGGCATGAGACTTCAACATGTTTCTGTTGGTAGAAAACTCGCTTTGGGCCACCTTTACACAGCAGACTTCCCGTTCGTGGAATGGCATTTAAGAGTCGGATAGAGAGTGTCCTGCCTTCAGATACGGAGAGGGCCGCATCAAGACGTGCACAGAAATGCATTATTTGCGAAAGAGCTGTGGTTTTGCGGTACGCAACAGAGGCGTTTCTCTTATTTTTGTTATGTGGGATGTTTTTTTGGTTTTTTTTTTTGTCATTTAGTTTTGTATTTTTGTACTCATCGAGGTGTGTGTGTGTGTGTGTGTGTGTGTGTGTGTGTGTGTGTGTGTGTGTGTGTGTGTGTGTGTGTGTTATTATTTTCTTTTAATTGACTTATTTTTAACCATTTCGTCGCATGTCCAATGACACACTTTCCTCGCACTGTATTTCCGCAAAATCCAAAGTTGAGTTGACACCAGAGGGGAAGCCGAATGCATGATACGGTAGTTCCTGGGATTGGTAATGTGTCCCTTCCCTGTGTCGTGGTATCTGCGCGCGTGCTTGTCGACGTGCTGTGTCAAACACACTGCCCTACTCTCCCACGGCGGATGGTTATGGTGAACGCCTGATCTTGATCAGTGCGCCTAGGGATCGAGTGTTTGTGTTGTGGCGGACACATAACCCCGCGCCACCCTCTATTAACCCACTGCGCACAGCCCCAGATGACCAAATTCCATGAAAACCACAACCCCGTTCAACAGTGCACACCGCCCACCCTTACCCCTCTCCCAAGAAAAAGCCATACAGTCGGGGCCCACTATGCCAGCTCTGGTCCACCACATGCACCGTGGTGTGCCGAGGCCCAAACCCAGCCAAGCCCGAAAACTGTTCCCCATGCGCTGCAGTGCCAAGGGCCGTCCGTCCCCAATATCTAACGGAAGACAACTATCAGCGAAAGCCCAAGTGTGGGGATTTTTGTTTTTCCATGGGCCGGCCCTTTCTTTGGCATGCGGAGATCAACGGCAGCACACAATTTTTACAATAATGTGGGGATTTTTGTTTTTCCATGGGCCGGCCCTTTCTTTGGCATGCGGAGATCAACGGCAGCACATGATTTTTACAATAATGGGACCACCGTGACACATGGCGCGGCGCCATGGCACAGACAAGATTGCGGATGTACATTTCCCGCTCTCCGCTGTCACACCATGTAGTTTTCAGGCACTACATGGTGCATGTGGGCCCGGGCCCCCGCATGGAGGCCTCCCGGCCCCAAAAAAATTCAACCCCCCCCGCCATCGAATTGTGCAAAATGCAACCGGGGGGGAACCGGCGCTCTCCACCGGCTGGTACCACCGGCCCGGTTCCAGTGGGGGAAGGGGGCCCCGGTGGGACCGGAAATTCAGCCTTGCCACAAACCCTTTTCCAGGACCCCACAGACCGAAGATTGCGGCTTCGAAAAACATCAATTTGTGTTTTCACATAATCCGCAGCCTGGAGAAGTCTCACGGGAGAATTCCTCGCCGAAATTTTGTGCCGACTCTAGAGGGTAGGGGGG